TAAAATAAAAATAGTTGGATCTTTAAACATTAGCAACACATATGGTTCAGTAAGACGTGAGAACCAAGGAAACAGCAGATCCACACCTCGCATTTCACTTTAAATCTCAGACCTTAACTGGAAATTCCTACACTATTGAAAGTCTCTCTCTCGCTCTCTCTCTCTCCCTCTCTCTCTCCCTCCCTCTTCTCTCTCCCCCCCTTCTTCCTTCCCTCTCTCTCTCCCTTATTCCCAACTTGAATACTTGTGTTTGCTTAATTTAAAGGAAAATATGACAAGACTCTACTTTTTTGCCAAAAAGTCCATTAGCCTCCTCTAATTACAAGCCTTGTGGTGTCATGCCAGCTCTCACTAAGAGTTGCTCAGGAAACAGTAAAACATACAGAATGAACTTGACTTCTGTCATTTTATACGCTAATAAGCTTTAAAGTATGGAATGTGCTTCTACTTAAATTGTTCAAATGTTTTACACGACAAGCAATAGACAGGGCTAAGTTGTTTTTAATCTGGTTTGGTTTTAAAAAAACAAAACAAATAAACCACAACAACAAAAAAGCCTGTAATCCCAACACTTTGGGAGCCTGAGGTGGGAGGATTGCTTGAGACGAGGAGGTCAAGTCTGAAATGAGCTGTGATTGTTACACTGCACTCTGAGCAATAGAGCAAGATTCTGTCTCAAACAACAACAACAAAACAATAAAAAATAAACAAGAAATGTAAATTTTACTTTGAAACATTCTATTTAAACACAACATTTTATGTGATAGGAGAGGTTTTAGATACTATTTAAAACACAGATTACTGCATTTTCTTTGTGGCACTACTGAAAACTACCAAATTGATGGCAGTGGTGTTTTAGTGTCCTTCGTGTTTATTTTTAGGGAGTACAGGTCATTACAAAAACAATTTTAGTAAACATCCTTGAAATATAGTTAAGTTGGTTCAAGCTGCTACATCTTTTCACTCTCTGTTTTATGTAATAATTAATTTTGTATGAAAGTTGGCCTTTCATTTTGGTACGCCAATTCCATGTAAAAACGAGGCAGAATATTTAAATTAGATGACAAGCTAAAACAAAAGCATTGAGATTGAGAAGGTGGGGTACAAGAGAATCTCATATGACTCTAATACCTTTTCCTAAGGCTACAAGTTATTTTAAAAAGCAAATGTAGTATAGCTTATTATTAATACATTTGTACTCTGAGATTAAAGCTCATGCTATAATTTTAAATAAATTTTCTTCAGACTTTCTTTTTTTTTCTGAAATGCAGTCTCACTCTGTTGCCCGGACTGCAGTGCAATGGTGTGATCTCCGTTCACTGCACCCTCTGCCAGTCCCCACCACTGGCCTGCAAGTGATCAAGCCTTGACCTCCCAAATAGCAAGGATTACAGGGGCATGTGCCACCACAACTGGCTAATTTGTGTATTATTAGCAGAGATGGGGTTTCACCACATTGGCCAGGTTGGTCTCAAACTCCTGACCTCAAGTGATCCTCCCGCCTCGGCCTGCCAAATTTCTGGGATTACAGGCATAAGCAATGCCTTTCAATTGAGAATGATCTTGTCTCCTAGGAGATGTCTGGCAATGTCTAGAGACATTTTTTTATTTTTAATGACCTGGGTTGGGGGTAGGGAGAGCTGCTACTGGCATCTAGTGAGTGGAGGCTGGAGAAGCTGCTAAACATCCTGCAATGCAAAGGACAGACCCTACTCCAAGAATTTTCTAGCCCAATAAGTTAATAGTGCCAAGGTTTGGAGACTCTGGAATAAAGCCATGAACTTTCAAAGAGGATGCTGTGTTGTTGGATATTTTCCATTCCTAATCCACATCCACGTTGATCAAGTAGAGCTCTCTTCACAGAAGCACAGCAGTTGCCATGGTATTCTCTTCCATATGAAAGCAGCAGTTTTCCAGAGCTTCCATTTACAGAATGTACCATATTTACTCAGATTCTAATGTGTATTAAATGTGCTTTGGAAACTTAACAAGAAACGTGCAAGCTCTCAGTAAAGAAAACTTGTAGGAAACAAAAACTGAACAGCAGGCTTCTAGTTTCTCCTCTCCCAAAACGGCCTTGGAGGATTCAAAAATGGGAAGTGTGAATAAAACTGCTTTGTATTTTAAGTAGAAGCATTTGGTAAGTATTGATATAATGCCTTCAGGACATAAAATCTTCACTTGTTATATGATTGCTTATTTAGAAATGTGATGAAGTGTGAAGAGACTGCACCAGCAGGAGGAATCATTTAAAATTTTAAAAATCTAAAAAATAGTTTCTTAGAACATGTACATGGTTACTAGTCAACTGGCATCTGCAATAGAGCCTTCTTGTTTCAGTGTCAGAAATGCACTGACTGTTAACTCATTAACAGGCCAGAGAGAGCTTGATGGTCATCATTTATTTATATTAATTGGCTGATTTGAAGTCAAAAGTGAAGCTTATCCCTTTTAACCTATAATTTGCTATTTTTAATTCAACCAAAATAAATGGAAACATAAATTTCAGAAACTGGCAAAGCAAGTATGCCTTACTCATTTAATTTTAAATAATTTGGAACTTCTGATCATGGCGAAAGCTATTAGAAAACCACCCAAATCTACCCTGCTTTACCCAGCTGATTTATGCTAATGTGTAGACTTGTGCTGTCCAATATGGTAGTATGAGGCACATGGTGATCAAGCACTTGAAATATGGCTAATCTGAGCTGAGATGTGTTGTAAGTGTAAAATACAAACTCTAGGTTGAAGGCTCATCCCCCCAAAAAAGCCAACTAATTTTAATTTTGATACTGATTACATACTGAAATAATGTTTTGACTAAATTGAGTTAAATAAAATACATTGTTAAATTAATTTTACTTTTTGCTTTTTACTTTTTTGATGTTACTAGTAGGAAATTTAAAAGTACATCAGGCATTTTATATTATAAAATTATAACTAGCTCATATATATTTCTGTTGGACTCATTACATTTCTTTTGAACAGCATTGGCCTGCACCATTCAAGTTTTAATTAAGCAATAACTTTCCTGATCGAATAAGCATTTTAAAAAGGATATCAATGAAGGGAAATTAGAACATATCATTTGCTAATCACTTCACTAGTGGCATGGATTGCACAGTGTTAAAGCCCATTTCCCCATTTCTTCTTATAGGAACATCTGCTTCCCCAGAAAGAGGGTTTTAATCCTAGAAATGGTTCTTCTGCCTTCCAGGAGCCTTCTACTTTCCTAGCAGGTTCTTCCAAACCATTCCTCCCAACACTCGGTACTCTCTTTTCTATGTGTTTCCAGTCACAGTGTTCCCTGTTTGGGATGCCTCACCTGCTCATCTTCCCTCAAGCTTCAAGATCTCACCCAAATTTTTCCTACTGCAGAATGGTGTTGCCCAATTGCAAGTCGTCTCTCCCTCTTCTGACCTCTTCAGCACTTAACCAATACCTGCTTTTCTCAAACTGCGTTTCTTCTAACACTGGGACTGCCAGGTGTTACATTTTCTGAGAGAAAAATAACTTTGTGGTTAAATGAGTTAGATAAATACTGAGTTCAGTGTCGTCAAATTGGTCTCTTTGCTGGAGAATTTCTTAGGGCCCTTAATAGGTTAATCCGGATTGAGAAGTTTTAAAGAGCCATATGGTATAGAGCATTTCCTGGTCTTTTTACATAATGGAGCGTATTTGTTTCTCCAAGCAAGTTACAGGACTAAGTTCTGGCAACACACTTTGAGAAATCCTGTCAAAGACCATAAATCAGCGCATGCTTCTTTCGTGACCTTTTTTTCTTCTCAGTTGGAGCCATTATATAAATCTTATTCATTTACTTAAACTTTCAAATTTTTATTTCTTATTTTCTAAATATACTGTATGTGATTTATTGAAGCCTAAAATTATCATGGTTAGCATCATGCAGAGTTAGTTATTACCTGTTTATTTACCTTAATATATCAAATGATCATACCACATTTGTATTAGTCCTGTTAATAGTAATAGCAACACTAATCAGGCATATACAATAAGCTAAACCTATGGTTCTTACTGTTGCACAATACTTTTAAATTTTAACTCTGATTTAAATTTTAACTCAGAAGTACAGGACAACCTGCAACCCACTTAGTATGAATAGCATTAGCAACAATAAGCAAAACCAAAAAATACCACTGGCATGTTTTTTGAGGGCAAAAGGAGTAAAATCACTATAAAATACAGGCCAGGGTCAGACAGAATACTACAAAATGAGAAAATTTAAAAAAGAGAACTTAATATTAAAAAATGTACTAGGGATAAGGAAAGACTAAAAAGAATAATAAAGTACCACCAGAAACATTTTCATCGTAAAACAAAAAATGCCCACTTCTATCAAATATTGGCATGGTTGTATGTGAACTATAACTTGTTTTTCCAAAAATATACACTTACCAACCAGTTTCCAAGCCTAATTGATTCACTAACATTATACACACTACATGGACTAGCTAAAATTTGAATATTTATGCATGTTACAGATAAAAATGAAAGATGTAACCTGGGAAATATCATGTGAAATCTGACCCAGAAACTGTCTTGTATTGATCCATTATTTCTTTTACTGTCCTGATCAAAGTGAGTCCTATTGTAGCCTTTATTCCATTGCTATCTATCTATCTATCTATCTACCTACCCATCTATCTGTATGTATGTGTATATTTTTGTGAGACAGACCCTTCCACACACATAAGACATGACTGAGAGATCCTCTGCTTTATGTCTCTTTATATTTCTTGTACTTCATATAATTGACTTGATATTTGTGAGATCTTTGACAATGGCATTAGACTAAACATCATATTGAAGAAAGAAGTAGCTATCTTCTTGATTTCCACCTCAAAAATCAACAGTATATCTTAAGATCCAAGTTTCTCTTAATGACCAATTTTAAATATCATCCATGACTTTGTAATATCCTAAAATCTCTTAATCAATTGATCAACGGTGTGTATCTATAATTTGTTTACTGCATTTAGGACCAGGTGCCTTGGGAGAACAAAAAGAAAGTGAGACACATACTTTCTTTGCCTTCGGGATCAAGATCTGGTTGGGAAGAAAAGACAAACATATGATTTGAAAACAAATGGAGAGCGAATGCTAAATTTTGTGGAACCTATACTCCAGTTCAGAAAAGTGGAACAGAAAGCAAGCTGGAATAGCCAAGAAAGTCTGTAAAATAAAGCCAATTTTGAAAAACTATTAAAGCCAAAGGAATGGTTTACATTATGTTCTGATAGATATTAGAGAACTCAAAATTTTTGAGGAGAGGGTCTGTAAGATAAATCCTATACTAAAATTAGATTCATATAGTCCAGTGTGGAAATCGGGTAGAGTCTAGGAGAGCCTGCAGAGAGAGAAGACCATGTCAGAGATTCTCGGCTTTAGCCTGCATTGGAACAATGAGTGGGCAGTGGCTGTGGGACTAGATCAGGAGTAGTTTTTGAGAGGAGCAGACAGGACCTGGTGACTTACTGGAAACGGGAGGTAAAAAAATGTGGGTGAGATGGCCAGAAATGACCCCAGCGTTTTGAGCACTGATGAAAAAGTAACAATAGCTAATTATTTTGAATATTTGCTCTGTGCAGACAGTGTTTTATGTGCTTTTACTGGGTTTTCCCAAAATTCAGGATGCATTTATTGATGTAAGTACCAATAGTCCCCCATTTTATAAATAAGAAGACTAAAATTCATAAAGAAAATGTAAATTTTCCAAAGTCACAGCTGAGCAGAAATTTTAATTCAGACAACCTAGATGCAATGCTCTTAACTTATATACTATTCTCTGTCTCACTTCCTAAAGGAATAATGGTAATGTAGATCAATTTGGGATGAAGAGCTAATTAAGGGAGAATTAAAAATGACATATAATTTGAAATATAATTTTGATTTGGGACAATAGCATCCAGGTGAAATTTGAAGATAAAAGACCTCAGCTTGGACAAGCTGGAGATTTAAATTCCACAATAAGCATGAGAGAGAAGTTAAAAGCACTGAAGGAAAGGGAAACTCACAGAGGCACTAAAAATGGCAACTTTAAATATTTCTTGAGGTTATAAAGTTGGTAAACATGAATATAGATATTTCGTGTTACGTGACCCTAGGCCAGTGCTCCACCAACTTCTTTTACTGCATATCTCTATAATAACAGAATTGTTGAGCACACACCCTTAGTATTTAATATATGTGGCTTACTCTCCATTATTTCTACTTGATAATGTAACTAATGAAGAGTTTCCTACTGGGAAGAGAAGCAGCTCCATAATTTTCTGCTTTGCTTCTTCCTGCGCTGTCATCATTAACTTCAATCTGCATCTCTTTTGCTGAGCACTTTTTAAAGCCACTTCTCCATTTTGTTGAGTTAAGACTATTCTATATGGTCCAGGCATGCAAACTGCACTCTGTTACAATACCCTGTGAATCAAAGAGGGACACCCCTGTCTAAGCCTGCATAATGGAGCTCTCATTCTCACTGCATTTATATAGATAACACTAGGTATCTCCTGAGGAAGCTAAATGAGGTTACTGGTATCATTCTACAAGTTAAACATCACAGTATTTTTTATTTACAAAGTGCCACCCTAGCATTTCTTTTTCCATGGCCAGTAGTTTCTTTAGCTGCTCTTCACCCTGATAAGGAGCTCCTCTGCACTTTGGAGACCACACATCGTCTTAACTTCCTTAGGAGTCAGAAGGTACTCTCTCATGCTCATATTCCAGCATTTGCTGAGTGGGTAAGTGTGAGATTACTGTATTTACACACTGTATGGTATATATACTTCTGTCCAAAATCCACTCAGCCTTTGCCTTTTCAGATTTGAATCCTTACAGTTTTAGACTCTCAGGCAATATCCTCACTTCTTTTTGATCATTTTAGTTTCCCTTGTTCTTTTAATCACTTAAGCTTCTCCTACTTACCTCATAATTCTTGAGTATGACATTGAGAATTTCTTAGCATTTCCGGAATAAGCCACTATGGATTTGTAGGTGGACAGATTCATGTTTCCAAAATCTTCTTGGACAATACTCAGCAATTCATGTCTTTTCCAGCTCCATTCACTGTGGAATGAGGACCTCCATTTTATTTGTCATAAGTAAAAAAAGGTACCAGAGTCAGAATAAATACAATAAACACCCAATGAACATTTGATTAATAAGAAATAATGTAGACAGTAAAGTCAAAGAGAAATGTCAAAAATATTTATTAATCATTGTCAAGTGAGTAGAAAATATTATTTATTAATAGATGTGTTTGTGTTTTATTTAGGATATTGCTTTTTACTTCTTTCAGCTCCCATACTTTGTTGTTAACCATGTTATTCTTTTCCTTAGCGTGAATTAAAGGTTGTCCTATGTTTAGATAGCAAGTAATCTGGTAAACAGTTAGGCAGGCTAGCTACAGTACACTTGGAGATATATTTTCATGTGGGCCATAGAAAATAAACCTTAGTTTTGAAAAATGGCCAGTGTGAATATTAAGATATCAGACAACAGCCATGAACTCCATTTTTATTATTTGCGATAAGATACAATACTAACATAGTTAAATACACAGTACAGAAGTTTAAACTGAACTCTCCAATAGGTATAAATAATGAAATAGATGTTAAAATAACTTGTAACTTGTCGACATAGAATTGATGGAAGCCATTTATTAAAACTGTAAATGCAAAAATTTAAAGAACTTACAAATAACTGTGAACCAACTTCCTTCCTAGGCCAACAAGTAAAAAAAATTTTACTTTTGATTTGCAAACAAAAACTATGGTTCTAGTTTTATTTTAAATTTGAAGTCAGTGTGGAAAGATGTCTTTCTAGATATTTGTTATTAAAATTAATTAAGCTGAATAGGCACTGTCAGAAGATGGCTTAAAATTAGGAACATTTTAGAGTCATTTCATCAGAGCTATTTGCCTAATTGGCTGCTTGACTCGTAAATATTAAGGTTGATATAAAGACAAATACTTTTGTCCTTTTCTATACAGCATTTATATATATTTATATATGCAACATTTGCACATAATAAGTTTACTTTGGATCTGATAAATATAATGTTTTTAAAAAAACTGGTTTAAGCAACAATTTTACAAAAATACCCACCTCTATTTCTAAAACTAATTGACAATAGTAAATATATATTTTCCCCTAACAAATACCCAGCTTATTAGAGTGTACCGATTTACAGAAAGCTGCAAAAGATCTATGAGATTTGGGGGGAAAGACAAAAAAAGGACTAAGTGGAAAAACCGAAGTAGAAGGGAACGACCGAATTGTTCTTGGTGTGGGGAAGGTTTTAAATGGCAGGCAGAACTGAAGACCTCTTGTGAATGTGGTAATGGAGTTGTAGATGAGTAAAATTTATTGTTCTCTATGTATAGAAGGAAAACTTCAAATTGGGCCAATATGAAATATAATGCTTTTGTCAATGGCATCATGGGTTCCTCACTAAAAATGAACAATGTAAATAAACATTTAGGCAGTGAAATGCAACAAAAAGCCATCTGCTTTGAAAAATCCCTACCCCTGCAGCATTGGAGAGCTTCAATTCAATAATCGTGAATAGAAGTTTTGTAGGTGCTGAGGCCAAGAAGAGGCATCAGATTGTCAAGTTGTTTGATATTGCCTGAACATTGGCTAAACCAGAAATTCCTTTTGGCTAATTTTCTCACATTGCCATACTAGAAGCTCATCTTAGAGTGGACTTGGAGCACGACTGTCTTTCTGAAAGTAAATGTAAGCTGAGCCACATTATTGGAAAAGTAATCACACATGTTCTAATGGCCACTGTTCAGCAAGTCCAGTCCTTTTTCACTGTTACTGGAAAACATGAGGGTCCAAAACCACAAATGCTAATCTCCTTGAAATGGTATATAAGCTCTATGTGAGAAAGATCGCTTTAAAAGACATTAAATTATTGAGTTTTAAAGAGGCCAAGCAGGTGAATGCAGAGGTTTTAATTTTATTTACTTATTTATTTGTTTATTTATTTATTATTTATTTATTTATTTATTTATTATTTATTTATTTTTAGACAGTCTTGCTTTGTTGCCCCTGCTGGCGTGTAGTATAGTGCAATCTGGGCTCACCGCAGCCTTTGTCTCTATGATTCTCCTGCCTCAGCCTCCCAAGCAGTTGGGATTACAGGGTCGCACCACCATGCCATGCTAATTTTTGTATTTTCAGTTGAGATATGATTTCACTATGTTGGCCAGGCTAGTATCAAACTCCTGACCTCAGGTGATTCGCCCTCCTGGACCCCCCAAAGTGCTGGGATTACAGGCATAAGCCACCATGCCCAGCCATAAATATAATTCTTAATACAGCTTCAGGCCTTAAAGTGGATGTAAGTAACAAGAATATTGGCTTAATGGATGAAAGCATTGGCCCCAATATCTAAATGAAGAGAAAAGCTTCTGACCTACTTGATCAGGAAATGTCCTTCCTACATTCAATATCTTGTCTTAGTCATCATTTCAAGAGCTACCAATTATGAACACATTTAAAACACTGGCTTTGTTTACACTTTTGCCACATTCATTTCTCCTTATAATTTATATTGAACATCCTCAGTTTGTCTTCATGAATTGAGAAGTTTGTAGAAGAAACTTTAACAACACCAAAGGAGGCAGATGGAATGCATTCATTATAGCAGAAAAATAGGACAGGCAAAACCCTCCTTTATATATATTAGTGCCTCAGCTTAAAAGTAAGATCAGTGAGAAAATCACAAAAGGCCTAAAAGTGAGAATCCAGAGCCACCTGAGCATGTTTAATTAGCCTAAAACTTGTCCTACCCATTCTACTCATATTTAAGATATTAGATCTGGGACTGTCTTCCAGAAGGACAATGTGATTTGCTATAGTACCTTCAAGAGGATCAAGAAATGGACCTTGTATGGTACACTTAGTAGCTTACTGGTAAATGAAGAAGGAAACCCACAGGTAGCGTCTTTCAGTAGGATCAGACTAATTGGAGGACAGCATTGTGATAAAAATTTTAGGGAAACAATCTTTATTTATGCTAATGCTGTTCAGACCATATGCATCACATTTGAGCATCTCCATAAAGAAGATGCATCCCAGTGTTTGAAATTACTGAGTATAAATATATGGCCAACAAATGAGCACCTTTAGAAAAATACGGAGTCAAAGATGAAATGTTTATTAAACCCTTTGAAGGGCTGCTACAATTAAATTATGTG